TATGGGTGGTGCAGCGGCCTTTAAGTCGGCTTTTACGTGTCAAGTTGAACAAGCTGTGAGCTGAAATATGGCTTCTACTTACAATCTCTGGGGTTCTTTCCCCTTTTCTCATCGGCAACCGGGCCAAGTATGTTGTAACCCTATAAAGTTATGTTCAAAATGTAGTTCTTTGACAGGATTAGTTCATAACCTTGTAGAAGAAACATTTGTCCAAAGTGTAATAAATGTGATGCTTTTTAATCTTTTGGATGATAATGTTATGTCTACTGCGTTAAACGATAGAGATGCCGTTTTTTAATATATGTTTAAAACCAATAGTTATACCTTGTAGTTATCAGTTTACCATTTTAGTGCAAAAACGTCACATATGATGACATTGCTTTGCTGTAAAACCGACTTGTTTATATAATGTAAGAATTAAAAGTGCTCATCAGCTATTGAAAACAGACAAATAAACTGTTACAAGACACAGTTCTTGTTATCTATGTTTGCAGAAGGTTTTATTTTGAGTTCTGCCAGTGAAAAAACCATGATCTTCCTCTTGCTGTCCATTTAACTGAATGAAACGCACCATATGTCCATAGTTATTCAGTCGCAGTTTGAACACACATCTTGTCTCAGTCTCCGTGGTTCAATGTACGTGCTCCAAAGAGTAGTCCATAAAGGGTGTCAGCTCACATGAAACCACAGCCGCGACTGAAGGAGGGAAGAAAAAAGGGTCAAAACGAAGCGGACGGGGCGAGCAGAGAGAGACAGAGATTGCCTGACATACTAAGCATTACCATAATTGGCTTTTCTACATGATAGGACAGGGGAAATAATGTCATTTTATTTACAGCCCCCTCCAGCCTGAATCACACACACACACACACACTTGTGAACAGCGAACAGGTCAATGACACACACTGATCAGGCCTGTCCAAAGCCATCAGAGGTGAGTGGCAGCGAATGGAGCGGCCGGTGACAAAGCGAAACGCGCAGAGAAATAAGACTGCCGGGTCCAAGCTCCTGTTTTGAAGGGCCACTAAACGGTGTGCGTAAGACCCCGTCCTGCAAACAGCGCCAGGCCACGAAGGCTAAATCAGCAGGTGAAGGCTGCAGGAATTGAACATTAGCACTGCAAATGAGAGCTGGGATTGCCCCTCGTCTCACAGACAACATGAATAAATGAAGAAGGTATAGGAAGTGAAAGACTTTGCTATTGTTAGTAAAGGGAATGGTCAGGGTAGATTTTTTGCCACGTTTTATCTTATTGCGTAGAGAGGAAACTTCCAATATACATATTCGCTATTGTTTTTAGCATTAAAGCACGGTTGAGCCTGGATTAAAACGTCTGGAGTTATTTTTTTAGATCTCTCCACACTAATCGCAGGAGCTTCTGGTGCAAATATGTTTGTCCCTTTCTGTCTCAGTCCTGTGTTAGTAAGATGTCATTGTACCACATATGACAGTGAGGTTTTCTGTATTTTTTACCTAAAGTATTGCCCATGAATTAGTTGTGGTGTTTTATCAGGTTCATTATCAGATTTGAGTAATGTCAAAACAAATGTAACTCCTCCCTCTGGTGGTAGCATAGGCATTTTTTACCTTTTACTTGAGACATTTTTTTCACATTTTATAACATTAAATGACAAAGAAAGTAGTTTCATTATCATTCTTGTGGGCAAAAATAAAACACAATATGTTTTGATTTAAAGTATGTATTACTTAGATAAATAATCAAACAGCTATCCAAATGTTTAGGGCTGGGAGCTGCTTTAGTCTTTGCCTGTCTCCCTGTATTCTGTGGCCGCCTTTACACCACAACCAGACTGATCTATGCTGGTCCGATCAGCTCTAAAACGTAACTATAGCTGCGGGCACACCCCAAGATTGCAAATCATAAACCCACTTCAATGTCTACACAGTTATGCACTTATTTTTAGCGTGGTTCCACATCATGTCTATTGTATGCTGTTGCTTTCAGACCTCACACAGCTTCTGCCTTGGGGAACTATTGGAGCTTTAAAAAAAAAAAAAAAAAAAAGGGGGAGGGGTGTGTGTGTGCGTGACTGCAGAGATGTCCCACTGAGGTGTCACCTGTCTGCAGCACCAAATCCTGGACTCCGGGCACAACAATAGTGACAGGCCCCTCTCCCAACACAGATGGCTTTGCTTTTCCCCCCACTAGCCACACTGCTTCCCCTGCTTGGACCTGACACAATGTGGCACTTGACTCGCAAACATAAGTGATCATGCTTAGCCTACTTTCCACTAAAAAAACTGGGTTGGAGTAATACACACTCAATATTGCTGTTTTGTGTGGTTTAGTTGTTATTCTCGTTGGGCATCAATACCATAATTTGGGTACCAGTTCCAGAACACCTTTATCTAGAATGAAAACAGATACTCCTTTTACAGTACATTGAAACCTATTTCTAAAAACTTCTCTCCTAGCACCCGTAAGTCCCAAAGCACTTTTTTCTATTTCATCATTTTTTCAGCCTCCCAATATAACAGATATTTGCCTGTTAAACGATACTCAGCTCTTGTTATTATAAGTTCCAGAAAGTCCAGCCCTTCTCTTGAATATTACACCTCTAAAAACAATCCAATTTACTATCATTACAATATTCAGAGTATATATATATATATATATAATTTTTTTTTCATCCCTACTCTACCATCCTCCTGTTTCTTCTGCATATGCATCTATTCAGAACTACACACTACTTATTCACCGGTCCAAACAAATCTTTTTCTCCACTCCTTTCAAAACTTCCCCGCTCTTCCCTATCCTCTCTGACAGCACAAAGTGGGCTTACATTTTTGACTGACAACCACAACAGACACCTTCCTCCCCTACACCCCCTGTGTTAATCCCCCCCCCCATCCGAGCTCTCTCTCTCCCTCTTTCTCTCTCCCCCCACCTCTCTCTCTCCTTCTTTTGTTCTGACTGACGCTTGAAAGCCGCCGTGTCAGCATCTTTTTCCATCTCTGATTGCCTTATTAGCCGCCGGTGACACCCGCAGCTTTTCTGACACAGATGGTGAAGGAGGAGAAGCGGCTCCGGCTGGGCAGAGTGAAGAGGGTAAAAAATGGCTGACTCGTGTTTGTTGTTGTCGAGCTCCCCTCCCACCTGCGTTCGGTCTTGTTGTTTGTGTGGACACTGACACCTTGGGGCTGACGTGCGGACACACTCTTGACACTGAGGCCTGTCAAGTGAACATATGGACTATGGCAGGGAGCAGTTGGGTTGTGTGAATGTGTTTGTGCTGCTGTCAGCTCTCCCTCACACTCGCTATTAAACTGGTTTGTTTTAACCACACTTTGACTTTGAAAGGGTCTGATTTAAACATCGTCTCACAAGATTACAGACGACGCTGGACAAAGTGTCGTTCGTGTAGAAATACAGTCTGTGGATATTCCCCTGACCTTAAATTATAGGGGGTTTTTTCATCACATTTTAGATGTGGAACCAAAATCCATGTAACTAGTTTCTTGCTCTCAAAACAATTTGGTTTCATCACTAGTTTTTACATGCATTGATTTCTGTCCTCTTGTCATATCTTAGGGTTTGTTTTTTTCAGACAGAAAATATACAAAAGAGAGGACCACCCTCACTCAGCCAATCAGCTCTCAGACGAAACAGTTAAATCACGACTCACAGGGAGCTTTCTAATTATTCTGATTTGTCCCAAACTTCTTAGTTTCAGTGGGGACAAACAACATATGTAATTAATGAAACAAGATTTAACTTGAATCCATGTTTTCTAACCAAAAAAACTGCAACTTTTTTCTAACAGCCATTGCAGAGTGATATTGTAGTCATAGTTTGTTTACAATCCAAAGTGGATTAGATCTGCTGTTTTTATCTTCACGTGTTCAATTGCATCATTTATAAAAAAACTAGTTTAATTAACAAATGCCCGGATGCTTTGTTAAACACAGCCTTTCATACTGCAGTGGGAGAATGCAGCTGTTAGACCTCTGCTTCTCCCAGGCAGCAGTAACTGGCACCTCACAAACATCAGGTATTATGTCCATTCCGATTATGGGATAGAGAGCTACATGCTGTTTGAAGCTGACAGCACATCTGCCTCCTCACTGGAGACCGACTCTGGCACCTCAGACAAGAATCTTATGAGCGATGGATTGTGGGAGCTGCTGAGCATATTTAACCCTCTGCTTTTCCATCTCTCACACTTCATTCTTTATCAGCTTTCACTATCATATTTAAAACTGAGAAGTATGTTGGAAACTGGGTATAAGTTTGACAGAATGGACAGCCATTTTCTGTGGAGGCTATAAATGTCGGTGTCTCTCCTCTTTCAAAATGGCACACTTGGAGCTTTGAGTGCTGGGGGAGCACAGGCAGTAACAACATGGCTTGTCATGTCCACTGGCCGCTTCCTCATATCACGCTGTGAGGACTTCCACAACTGATGCCAAGTTGACTCCAGCCAACCATAGCTTGGCAAGGCTGATGCAGCTGGCATTTCCTCCCCTATCACATATATTTGTACATTCAGAGGACTGTATGTGGTATATTGGCAAACAGAATGTGCAATCCAAACCGAAGAGTAGAGATTTGAACAACAAAAAGTGCCTTAATAAATTCTGATGTTCTTGGTTAGTTAAAGACATTCTCCATTTTAATAGTATAGCATTCACAACACATTACATTAGATCACTTCTATCATTTTACTAGACTGTGTTTATAAGCCTGACTTTGGTCTCGTGCTGATTTTGGATGATCTATTTTCTTTTTTGCTCTGCCCAACCCTTCCCTCATGGAGCTGAAGTGTTCAATACCTTCATTAGCCTGTGCATGAGCAAAACAATCTGTCAATGTCAAGATATGGATGTTGCCATTTTATTACAGCTATAGGAACGAGTGACATTAATATGCTCAGGGTTATACCGTCTTTGCTACTGTACTTTTAGGGTTATATATATGAGTCAAGGATGACCTCATAACACAATCAATCTAAATATTGTTTTTTTCTTGTGTTTTTCAGCTTATGGATCCGACGAGGAAGAGGAGCACTTGCAAGACGACGGTCTCTCTCTCGACGGCCAAGACACAGAGTATCAGTACAACGATGAAGAGGAGCGGGATCATTTTAGCTGTCAGAACTCTCCCCTCAGCAATGGCACCAATCCCGATGCTGGGTATGCGTCCCCGCTCAGCAGCACAAGTGACCATTTGGGAGACCTCAAATCCACACCCACCTTCCCTGACCAGGAGAAGACAGAGGAGGCTCTTGGCGAAAAGACTGAGCTGGTCAATGGTTTATCAATCCAAGATAATCTGGAAAAAATGAAAGCTGTCTATGCAAATCTTATCTCCGATGCCTCCTGGTCTAGCATTGCGCTGGATATGCTCAAAAGCAAACAGGGCAATGGCAATGCGGGGAATCACAAAGGAAGTAATGGGTTCCTGAATAATCACAACCAGAACAGTATCAATGTGAAGAGTAAGTGTAGCCCCAACAGCGCTCCAACCACTTCAAATGTTTCCACCAGCAGCACCCCCACCAGGACTGTGACCAGCAGCAACAGCGCCACCACAGCCAGCTCTGGGAACTCCGGTGGAATAGCTTACGACTGGCACCAGGCAGCATTAGCCAAAACCTTTCAGCACACTCCATACCAGCTGCTCCCTGAACCGAGCCTCTTCAGCACAGTGCAGCTTTACCGGCAGAACAATAAACTCTATGGACCGGTGTTTACAGGGGCCAGCAAGTTTAGGTGTAAGGACTGTAGTGCCGCCTATGACACCTTGGTTGGTCTGACGGTGCATATGAATGAAACAGGACATTACAGAGATGACAATAAAGATAAAGAGGATGACAGAAGCAAGAAGTGGTCCAAACCACGCAAGCGCTCTTTACTAGAAATGGAAGGCAAAGAAGATGCCCAAAAAGTATTGAAATGCATGTATTGCGGCCATTCGTTTGAGTCATTGCAAGATCTCAGTGTTCACATGATCAAAACTAAACACTATCAGAAAGTGCCTCTAAAAGAGCCGATGCCAGCGCTCACATCCAAGCTGGTACCTCCAAACAAAAAGAGAGCTTTTCAAGATCTGCTATCCCCAAGCTCACCTGATTCCATCTCATCTAGTATTCCCAGGGGTGAGTCTCCTAAAGACCAAAAACTGTCCAACCCCTATGTCACCCCCAACAACCGATATGGTTACCAAAATGGTGCCAGTTACACATGGCAGTTTGAGGCCCGTAAAGCCCAGATCCTGAAATGTATGGAGTGTGGCAGTTCACACGACACCTTACAACAGCTGACTGCCCACATGATGGTCACTGGGCACTTTCTGAAAGTTACAAACACAGCATCCAAGAAGGGAAAGCAGCTGGTCTTCGATCCAGTGATTGAAGAAAAAATTCAATCAATTCCTCTTCCACCAACAACAACAAGGCTTCCAGCTCCGAATGAGAAGTCTCCGCTAGGCTCTCCTCTGGAGCCTGAAAGTCCTGAAGATACAATGGAAGATGACCAAGAGGAAGAAGAACCGATGGAAATGAAAGAACCTGAGAAAAAAATCAAAGAGGAGAAAGAAGACGTGACAGAAAAGGAGGACAAACCAGAAAAGGCTAAACCATATGAGTATTTAACTGAAGAGGATCTTGAGGAGGCACCGAAAGGAGGCCTAGACATCCTCAAGTCGTTGGAGAATACGGTCTCAAGTGCAATCAGCAAGGCACAAACAGGCGCTCCAACCTGGGGCGGGTATCCCAGCATTCATGCAGCCTACCAACTACATGGATCCATAAAGTCTACCTTACCCTCAACACAGGTGCAGCCCTTGTTCAGTAACAACAATTTAAGAGTTTTGTCTTCAGATTTAGGGAAACTTATACAGTCCTCAAACAGCCCTTCACCACCTCCAGGTCACAAGAGCAATGTGTTAGCCATGGAGGAGCTTGTGGAAAAGGTGACCGGAAAGCCCTCTGTGAAGAATGAAAGGGAGGAAAGGGCTTTGGACAAACATGGCAGGTCTGCAAAGTCACCTGTGATTTCAACAAAAGAAAAACGGAGCTCTCCTAGTCCTGAAAATCTGTCTAAACCAGCACTGAAAACAGCATCTGAATCTGAATGCAAAGAAGAGCAAACAGACTCAAAGCCACAGGTTAAAACTGAAGTTAGTTCACCAAAAAAATCTTTGACCAACGGCTGTAGCAACCTGAGCATCATCACAGACCACTCTCCAGAGCCACCAGCCGTTAACCCCCTCAGTGCTCTGCAGTCTGTTATGAACAATCACCTGGGCAAAGCCTCCAAAGTCAACAAGCCTTTTGTGGATCCCTTTGCAACATTATACAAACTAAATAACAACTCTGCCCAGATAAAACAGGTGGAGCCGGTTAGTCTGTATCCAGAAGAGGACGATCAGCCTATTGACTTAACTAAATCCAAGACCACCAATGGATGTTCAGCAAAGAGCACTTCTGCTACTCCAAACAGTAAGCCAGTTTTCAAACCTTTCTCTAAGTCGCCATCTCCTCTTCGAGAAAATGCACTCATGGATATATCCGACATGGTGAAAAATTTGACAGGCCGCTTGACACCAAAGTCCACCCCTTCCTCCATCTCTGAAAAGTCAGACATTGATGGGTGTACCTTTGAGGAGGGCCTGGAGGAACTGTCTACGATCCAAAGACGTAAAGGTCGACAGTCAAACTGGAACCCCCAGCATCTACTGATTCTTCAGGCTGAGTTTGTCTCGAGTCTCAAGGAGACTCCTGAAGGAAAATTTGTAATTAATGACTTGGGACCACAGGAAAGGGTCCATATTTGTAAATTTACTGGTCTTTCAATGACTACTATCTCACATTGGCTGGCCAATGTAAAATACCAGTTAAAACGGACAGGAGGAACTAAGTTCCTCAAGAATATTGATTCTGGCCAGCCCTTGTTTCTGTGCGGTGACTGTGCGTCTCAGTTCAGGACTCCGTCCTCTTACATACATCATTTGGAGTCACATCTTGGTTTTACTTTGAAAGACCTCTCAAAACTCTCCATTGATTTAATTGAGCAGCAGGTAAACCGGTTAGAGGACAAGTCCTCTGGACTCACAGAAGACGAGGGCAGCGCTGGGCATCAGTGCAAACTGTGCAGTCGGACTTTTGTGAGCAAACATGCAATCAAACTGCACCTTTGTAAAACTCATGCAAAGTCTCCTGAAGACCACCTTGTCTTTGTGAAAGAGATGGAAAAGTTAAGTTAAGTTGTTAAGTTAATAGCATGACAGATTATTGTTGCACTATAATTGTAAGCTACAATCTGTCATATAAGATAGTGCCACAACTGGATAAAGCCTTCGACGCCACAGTGGTATAATAGCTTTAATGCCACTTCATACGTAGTTTTTACTGAGGTGCACAGTGGAGACGGCCATGGCACTATACATTCACTGACTGATTGTTGCTTTTCTCAATGCACTGCATATTACCTGAGCCTTTGTCAAATCCTCTCATAAAACTGGACATGCTCTTATTTTGGCCACGGTTTTCATAAAATGTTTTATATTCTAACACAACTTGCATTTTCCTTATGACTGTGCATGTTATATGTAAACATACAGTAATTGACCGAAGAAAAGGTGCCCTTCAAATTGATGTACTACCTGTTCTGTAAAAATGAAGGACGGAAATATGAACCAATGCAGATCATGTTTGAATCTAGTATAAATCAAATTAGCACTTTAAGAAAGTGTAAATTAATAAATGTATGTATGGAGCCCTGAACAATTATAATTTTGTATTTCTCACTACTTTTTCTTTGTTTCTTGTACAAAAAAGATATTATTTCTGCATTGTTTCTAAATGTACAGTATTTGTGTTTGTAGGTTCAATCTTAAAGTCATGTGAAGCTGCCGTTTGATGAAGTTAAAATCTTACTGTACTCAGCAAGTGCATATGTATGTATGTATGTAAGCAGACCTTGCTCTTTACAATTCAGCATTATTTGTACTGTGTGCATTTTTAAACAAAGTTGTTTCAAACTAAATGGGAAAACTGTATAAAGCTTCAAAATAATGTTGGGACCAAAACGTCCTTTTTTCATTGAATACAGTCATGGACTTGACTTGTACATGAAGTGTACATAACCTGAAAATTCTCACACAATAGATTTGCAGATTTTATCAACTCATTTATTCAGAATGACTTTCTTTATTCTTGGTTGTAAAATAAAGTTCATGTTCTGAACACTGTCGACATGTGATTTTTTTTATCCTGGCCTGTAGTTTTTATCACATTCTGCCTACATACTGCACTTTTACAGAGATGTCCGTATTAATGAACACTTAAATAAATGCCAATGTGATTATTTATTATCATTATTGGGCTTATTTCCATTTACAAACCGCTTGACATAAAATGAACACAAGGTTAAATACACAGACACTATTTTTAGACTTCAATAACACAGATCGTATCATGTGCAGTTGTTTGTACTTTAGCCTCACAGCAAGAAGGTTCTGGGTTTGACTCATGGGTTCTAATCTCGGAAATGATTCTGGTTAAATAAAGGTCACAAAATAAACAATATTTAAAACTTACTGTAACGAGAGTATGAGCTCAGACTGAAGCATTTCCTCATGATCACAGCCTCACCTGTTGCCTTCTCTCACCTCCTCATTATAATTCACCAACGAAAACCCCTTTTGGCAGTTTCCTCATTACATGAAGCGAGCCAATCATGGAAATGCCAGGTGCAGCGTATACCTTTCGAATGACAATTCTTTCATATGTGTCTGGCACAAAAATATGACTGTCACTACTTCAGCCTCACATGAGGCTTCTGTCCATTCAGGACACAGTCTGCCCCCAGAGGAGCCGGGTCCCTCTGGGCTTTCTAAAAACAAAGATCCTTCATACTCACATGCTCCACCGCAGCACAGACTCCGCTGGCTCCAGACTCCCCTGGTGTCAAGCGTCTCTGTATAAGCGATAGTGACAGTCCCAAAGCACTGGACCCTGTGAGCTTTGAGGAGAGGGGCTGCTGAGGGGCAGGTTTACTGGCTGGGCTTTTGAATCTGCTCCAAGAGTGAGAGTGGGGGGACAGAACCGTCCAGAAGAATGGCTCCAAATCCTCCGGCTGACAGATGCAATTAACAACATTATCTTTACAGCACAAGCCTCATGAACTGTTTATGTCTAAATGATTCACTTTGTATTATAGCAGTCTGTGTGCACTTAGAACTAAATCTTATTTTATATATTTTTTATCCAGAGACTTATTTGGAGACAAATTACAACTGAGAAAATGGTTATATACTGTTGAGTACACGCCTATTGGCATTTATCAGCAACATAGTTGTAGGTTCTCTTTACAAAAAAAAGGAACCTTTTGAAAGTCAGCACAGCACGTTTATGAGAAAATCCAAAAAGGCCTGTTTGAAACATGAAAAACAGTATTGAAGTTAAATATGAGTCGTGGTTTAGACATTAGAGGGCTTAAGAGAGACACCTGATAAAAGGGGCCGTGGCATGTCTCCAGCGAAGGTATTTAAGTCGACATGCTCCCACCTCACGCTGCTCTTGAACACTCGCCCCGGGCAATTTTTTCTGTATTGTCAAGAAACAATGGAGTTTCGGTGCCTGGCAGCCTGCTGCGTGGAGCAGAAACATTAAACGCAGCACAGAGGAAACACAGAAAGGACCCTTAATAAAAGTCACGGAGCAACAGGCGTGAGGGAACCAGCCTATGATGCATGGATTAGAAACATCACATTAGCATCAGTGAGATTTACTCAGATTACCCTTTGACTCTCGGCCTCACCACAAACTGCACCTTTAACAAAAAGTGAAGGTGTCTTGACAATTGCACATGAGAAAAAGATCCATCAGCTTTATATAGTCCATTTTAGACACTGGAAGACGCTTCTTATGGCATTATTCATTCACTCCATACACAATGATGGTAGAGTACTATGACCACAGCTGCCCTGTGACAGACTGATAAAAAAAGGCATCTAATCTGTGCCTTTGGTGCCTCCAACCACTTCCTTTATTTTATTTTTTATTTTTTTTGTTAATTTTTTTTTTTACTTCAAAAACAGACAGGTAAGTGACAAGCATACACGGTACAAGACATACAAGAATACATAGAATACAGACAGGGACAGTGAACAAAGTTTTGTGTAGATGTGTGTGCATGTGCGTGGTGTGTGAATGTGTGTGTGTGTGTGCGCATGTGCATTGCTTACAAATATAAAAAGAGAAAAATTAAAGAATAAATAGTAATAATATGTATAATACTAATACCGCTACCACCATCAATATTAACAATAATATTAATAATTATAATGAAAACCATAACACTAGCAACAGGAGCCTCCAACCACTTCAAATCCTTCACAATCACCTCATTCACAGTGATGTGGGTGAAGTGTCTTGCTTAAGGACACCACAGCACTTTACAACCTCCACCACGGCATCTGAAGTTCCTAGAGATCTCCCATCATAGAACTATCCAGGCCCTGCCCTGCTTAGCTTCAGAGATCTGACTGGATCATGCTTTCACCTGCAGATGGTGCCACCACATGCAAAGCTTTCTTCACAGTGAAGGTTAGTTTCTTCTAGACTAAAACGTTGGTTCTCAGAATTAAACTCACTCATTTAACTTAAAATGCAAAACGGACAAATCTGAAATAATGGCAGTAGAGCAGTCAGGTCAAACCAATCCTCAAAGGTTTGACCTGACTGGTGTGGCTGCAGCTACACCAGGTGAGTCCAGTCTCAACCTGAAGACTTGAGTAAATGGATGGAGTCTGGTGCTCCTGCTTGGGTTGGGATGAAAACCTGCAGCCACACTGGCCCTTTGAGGACCGGCTTGACACCCCTGCTCTAGAATGTATACATTATATATTTTAGTTCACATTTATTTGGACTTTATTGATCTAACAATGGAGAAATGCACAAATTATTACTTGTTTCTTTTGTAAGAAAAATGTGGAGATATATTTATTTATTTTATAACGTCTTGAGTTGTGCGATAATCACTCACTGTTAGTCACGCCTCTTCATTCCTACTGTTCTGTAACTTGTGATGCAACACTGAAATTTCCCCCATGTGAAACAAATACAGGATCTTTTCATCTTAACTCTAGACCAGCACTCCCAGAGCAGTTAATTGGACGGCTTTTAGTTTTTGAAGTGTGACAGCTTCAAATGTCACAATGAATGTACCTTTTTGGTTTTCTTAAGTTCATTGTTTATTTCTTTCAATAAAAAGGTAAACTCCTCATTAACGACTTTGTCTTCAAACCGACGACCATCTCTTCGCTCCTGCTGTGACATCACAGACTGGAAGTGCGTCTCTCTCAGCGCTTCCCGCTCACGTCACTTACTGCGATTTCAGAAACGCGCCGAACACTCGCACATGTTTTTGTATCCGTTTCCGAGACGTGAGCGCCAACATCTTTGTGTTGTCACGGCGACACAAAAGCTCCCCGTGTGCCTGTGTCAGACTCCCCATGTTTTGTTTGTTCTCTCTTGACTCTTGTTTACTTTTAAGCGAACACAAAATAAATTGGCTCAGTGTCATCGCCATTAGCAGCCGAACACAGCCGAGAGAGAGACACAGACGCAGCAATCTGAGGCTCCACAAAAGGCTGTTTATGACAAGAGCCGTCGGGACGCGGCCTGTTATCCTTTTACTATAATCGCAACAGAAAAAGCCCTGAGCCTCGCGCTAACATCTGGAAATCCATCCACGGAACTGAACTCCTGCAGCCGCGAGAAACCGAGGCAGCGAAGAGTCAGAAGGAGTCATGGCAGACAGAGATGAGGGAGAATAGTTAAAATGTGTAGAATTTGTTTTACTTTGTTTTATTTATTCATTCATTCATTCATTCGTTATATTTATTATTTCAAGCAAAAGTGTTCCCTATGGAAGCCTGTTTCTGCCATGTAAAAACTTTTTTTTTTTTTTACTAAAAATTCCCGACATAACCTTGTAATCTCAAGTTTTATAGAAAACTTCTGTCTGTTTTTACACAGCGGAAACAGTCCTCCATACTGTAGTTCCAAGAGCTCAAAGAGAGAAAAAACAAAAAGAATACATACAGTAACTTACATACTGAGGGCGGTGGCTGAGTGGTTAGCACTCTCGCTTCTTAGCAAGAAGGTCCTGGGTTTGAATCCTGGTCGGAACAGGGCCTTTCTGAGTGGAGTTTCTCCCTGTGTCTGCGAAGGTTTCCTCCGGGTGTTCCAGTTTCCCCTACCACTAAAAACATGCACACAAGGTCTGGCATGTGCCCATGTACTGGGCCCTCTTCCATCTCTGTGTGGAGTGAGAGAAAAATGCTCAAAAATGACAATTATAAACCGCTTTGTGACTCTGGTCTGTGAACGGCGGTATATAAATAAAGATTACTTACTACTTACTACTACTACTAATGATTGAACTCCACCCAGATCTTGATACAACTCCAAAAACGAGGTTAAGGGGCATAAACGGCCTGTACCCCTTTTTTTAATATATATATTTATTCATTTGTTCATCATATATATTGTCTTTACATTTGCGCATGAACCAACAGGAACAGAGGAAAGATTTGACATTTGAATATTTTCAGCCCAAACATCACAAGCTCCTTCAAAGTGAAGGAAAAGCATTTATGAACTCATCACGCTGAATAATCATGTGTGGAGAGTGTGAGGAAGAGTGGATTAAAGCTGGGGTACTCAAACCGCAAAACTATCGGCAAAGCAGCAGCACAGTTTCTACAAAACTCAAAGTGCTAGATTAAAATCATAAATAATCACAGTACATAAGAAAATAATTACAACACGATCTTTCAGTTGGATACACAGCGAAACAGAACATTGTTAGAGTAAAGTTTTTTTCTACCTCTAGTTTTCACATCCATGGTTTTTTGGCTGCCGTCACATCTTAAAGCTTTGACAGACAGAAAAGTGAAAAAGATGAACATTTATGGACATTGGTCATTCTGCTTCATGAACCATTGGCTCCTTTGTGTTTTTTATGAACTTTTTAATGCGGAGACAGCCGCTGTTGTGATTTAGGATTCTCCAAAAAATAATCTGAATTGAATTGATTTGAATTTACTTTTAGACTCTTTCTGTGGCACAAACAGTTGGGTTCTCAGCTTATTCCGTACAAGTCTGATATAGAACCTTTTATTTCAGGTACCAGTTACATGTGGGCGATACGGTGGCTGAGTGGATAGCAAGTAGGTTCTGGGTTCAAATCCCGGTGTGAACAGGGCTTTTCTGAGTGGAGTTCGTGTAGGTTTCCTCCGGGTACTCCGGTTTCCCCTACCACTAAAAACATGTGCAATAGTTCAGGGTGAATGTGGGACAACGGATGATGTGATGTGTTCATGAACATGTTCTGTTCCAAACAAAAAACAATTAATAATAATACATACAGCATATTACATTTTGGAGTTTCGATTTGACTTTCTGTTCAAATTCATATATAACTGGTTCTTAAGGCATTCTAGGCTCGACGTGCAGGTTTTAAAAGGGTCTAAACTTAGCTCCTTCATATTCATTCTACTGTCTATACTTTTTCCCGCTTTTTTGAAAGTCGTCATATATGATCTTTACAATGTTTATTATCTAACCCAGTGAAATGAACTTGTTTGTCGTCTTTCTTCTGAAAACAAAACAACATAGCACCTTGAATTTAGTGAACACATGAAGTTTGTGAAGGTGAAGGATCCAAATCACGGGAGACGCCTCGTCATGGACCGAGAGTCTGAACGCAGTTGCTTTGTTGACACATTTGTCCCGCAGAGATCGGCGGCAGAGGAAGCAGTCAGGGGCGTCTTGTAAAGTGTTGTGTACCTGTCAGGGCCGGGTCTTGTTTCAAAGATACGCACGACGACATTCATCAGGCCGAGAAGAGCTCCTGAAGAATGGAGAAGTGACAACGTGGATTCTTACGAGAATAATGATGGCTGCCAGGGCCTGAA